TAGCATTAAAGTAGAACAAACTGAAATTTAACGGCCTCATTGGTTTTACTTACGATAGTCGCGAGTTCGATTCCCCCGACAGTAAAAATATTTGTATTCATGAGTATGATTGTTTGTATTGGTCTGGATGTTTTCTATGTATACTATATTTTTTGACGACCTCGGTGGTCTAGCGGTCTAGCACACCGCTTTACGTCCGATGATCGCGGGTTCGATTCCTCGCAATGCACAAACATTTGTATTCATGAGTATGATTATTTGTATCGGTCTGGGTGTTTTCTATGTATAATATGTATGTATTTAATAAAAAAAAATATCTATGTACTTATATCAGTTATCTAGTACTCGTAACACAAGCTTTAGATAGCTTAACTTGGGACTAGATGGCGCTGTGTGAATTGTCCTGAGATTATTATTATTATTATATATGTATTTACATAAAAAATATAACTAAGTACATATCAGTTGTCAAGTACTCATAACAGTCTAATTAGTTTGGTGCAAGTTGACGTTGTGTGAACTGATCAGGAATATTGATATTATAAAATATATTTGTGGCGACGTGGTGGGCCGGGTCATTGGGCTCCCTAAAATATGATCGAGCGCAATGATGGCTGGCTCATCCGTCATACTCGTGAACTGCTCTGCTCTTATCACTACGACTGATTTAATCTTATTGTATATTTATATTTGACCCAAAAAATTTGTGCTGGTTGGTAGTTTGTATTCACACGTTTCGACTTGTAAATGTAAACTTACAAGGATTATTTAAAAGAGCAACACACAAGTTTCTTGCTCGTTATTCTTGTGATGAGACAGCTTTCCGAACGAGCGGTAGATTAAAAAATTGTTATGACTATTCAAAAGTGCTTAAATTAAGTTTATTTGAATAAATTATTTTATATTCTATTGAAATAACTCGCTATCGCCATTCTCAATACACTATAACCGCACCGTATACTGAAAAACAAGATAAATCGCTAAGTATGTAATAACGGTAAATGGCGGCCGAGTTTCAGTGCAGCTCGGGATGCGCATGCGACGGTATACCGCACACGGGATTATAAGGATATTCCTATTACATAACACTTCGGTCCAATATATTAAAGGAAATTGTAAGTGATTTAATTATTAATTTCATGTTCACAAATATATTTATTACGATATTTTAATATTATATTTAAAAAAACTACTCCTGGTAATTTATGTGTTTTTGTGCATTGGCATAAGTTTTAAAGAGTAATCAATATATAAACCTAATTATTTAGGATATTTTAATATTGTATTAAAAAAAAAATCTTATTCCTGATAATTTATGTGTAGTTTGACATGAGTTTAAAAAATAATCACAGAATAATCGTTGGATGATAGAATAGAATAGAAATTATTTATTCATATAAACTTAAGTTTAAATTCTTTTGAATAGTCATACTTATTTTTTTAATCTACCGCTCATTAGGAAATGGATATAGATAGAATAGAATAGAAATTTGAAATTAATTATATTTAAAATTAATTATTTATTCAAATAAACTTAAGTTTAAACACTTTTGAATAGTCATACTTATGTTTTTAATGTACCGCTCATTAGGAAAGCTGTCTCATCACAAGTGGAACGAGCAAGAAATCGGTTTGCTCTTAAAAATAATTGTTGTAACTTAACATGTTTCAGTTGAAATGTGTGAATACAAACTATCAAATACTATCTAATTTCTTAGAGTCAAAATATTTTATAAAAATAGGATAATAACCAAAATATCACGAAGATAAAAAATACGTTAAATTTTAAAGTTATATTTGAAGTTCGTAATAATTTCGTAGAGCAACACACAAGTTTCTTGCACATTCTTCTTGTGATGAATCTGCATACCGAATAAGCAGTAGATAAAAAAAACTTACTATTTAAACTATTTAGACTATTTAAAAGTACTTATATTAAGTTTATTTGAATAAAGATTATTTCTATTTCTATTTCTCAATTTTTCTAAGAAACAAGAATTTATTTTGATAGTTGCAAATGTAAATTTTATATGGTAATCAAATCAAATCAAATCAAATTAGTTATTAGTTAGATTAGTTAGGTATATTAGTTAGATTAAGGTAAAAACATGCTACTTTGGATTACATTTAAAATGGGCAAGTTTCTTGTGCTAAGTTTATTTCCAAATGCGTGATATATTAAAAAAAAGTATTTTTTTTTAATATTAGGTCGCTAACAAGGTTTACACCAACACAATTACATTATATATAACACATTACAATATATTTAATACTACGCGCAGCCTTAGGGGCCGTTCAAGTATTACGTAAGCACTATAGGGGGGCGGGCGGTCTTTGCTTATTTTGGATGACATGGGGGTGGGGGAGTCTGTATGATGATTACGTCATCGGTCGTAATTTACTTTTTTACACGAATGGCAACCCTCACATTGTCTTTGTTAAAAAAACAATACATTAATTGAGAAATGTTTACGTAAGCATGGGGGGAGGGGTAAGAGCTTTGCTTACTTTTGCTGACAACGGGGGATGAGGGGTAAATAATTGTGATAAATCTGCTTACGTATTACTTGAACAGCCCCTTAACCTTAATTATAGGCAACTACAACATTTATATGAATAACTAGCCGTGACCGCGACTTCGTCCGCGTGGAATTTAACTTTATTTTTTAAAATAAAAGTAGCCTAAAGAACTAAAAATTATTTTGTTCGTCTTAATTTATTCGTTCCATTACGTACTGATAGGTTCAAACTAATACATTTACATCCTGCATCATCCCTTACTTTATCCCTATGGGGGTTGAATTTATCAAAATTCTATTTAAGCGAACGTCTTCATTATAGTATCTCCAATCTTTAATTTCGAAACTTTAATGTCGAAAATCTAAGAAGTTTCATACAAACTTTCATCCCCTATTTTATCCCCTTGGGGGTAGAATTAATCAAAATTCTTTCTTAGCGGATGCCTACGTCATAACATCTACCTGCATGCCAAATCCGTCCAGTGGTTTGTGGCTGTGCGTTGATAGATTACTATGTCTGTCAGTCACCTTTGAGTTATATATATAGATTTGTGCTTACAAATAAGAGTTTCTTTCTCATTCTTCTTGTGATGAATCTGCGTTCCGAATGAGTGGTAGAATAAAAAAACTGACTATTCAAAAGTGTTTCTATTGAGTTTATTTGAATAAAGATTATTTCTATTTCAAACTGATTAATAGGGCAAATAGAGTAGCTTGATCCTAATGTTATGCACGTGCATTGAATCATACACAATAAAAAATCAATTCACACTCTCACGATGTTGCTTCCATTCAAAATACATACATCAACATGAAATCAATCGTGCGTTGCATATTAACTATTGAGTTCAATAATAAAAACGTGCGTTTCTCATATATATATATATATATACAGACAGACAAACGTAGTCATGTTATTATTGTACTGTTATGAATATATATAATAACTAGATGTTACACGCGACAAATCAGACAAATTTTTTGCTAATGTTATTTCTCGTAATACTATCTATAAATCGACGGCATCGGTGGTTTAGCACTTCGCTTTACTATCGATGATCGCAGGTTTGATTCCCGTATGGTACAAACATTTATTTTCATGAGTATCATTGTATTTGTCTAATTGTAAGTGTTTTTATGTATATTTTATGTGTATTTATATTAGTAGTCTAGTACCCATAACACAAGCTCTGCTTAGCTTGGGACTAGATGACGCTGTTAAAATGGTCCAGGGTGTTTATTATTATTATTAACAAACAGTAATATTTAATAATCAGGATACTGCACTCAAAAATCTGTATCACACATACTTATGGCAGCGGAAGTAAACAAAACAATTTCAAACCATTGATTAATATGATCATATAAGATTATATATATGCGTTATTAGATTTGTATATGAACTGTTCCCGATTCAAACGGGGATCGAAATTACGACGGCCTGAGCCGAGGTTCGTAACCCTAGCTGTGCCCTCAGACTAAAGTCGTATCCGTCAAGAGGAAGTTGGCCCTCAGCCGCTCCTTAAGCCCATCCTTTGGTTTGGAGTGCCACCTACACTCGCCCTATATCGTTCGGTGAATTTTAAAGGCCAGCTGCGGCCAACAGCATTTGATTAGTTCGAAAAAAAATATTCAGTATATCTGAGAATCGGCTACTACCTATACTTGATATCCCTAAGTGACAAGGGTTGTCCACCCCTAGCATTTATTTTTTATTTTTTGGACAATTTTATTTTGTTATGATTTACCATTCAAATATACATATAACATTCAAATAACACTAGGTTATTTCGTAATATTGAGGCCAAAAAACGTAAAGAAAATAAAGCGCTCAAAATAACGATACTCAACTACTCTTCAATGACTTTATCATAGCCCAGTTGCGTACAGAAAATGGTCAGGCCTGTTATTAACTGTATAGTTACTATAAACTAATCATAGGGACGGTTTTAACAGTCAATAACATTTAACTATCACTGCCGTATGCCTCAGAGCATTTGCTAATCATTATACGTTTTATAAGTTATACGCTTGTCTTGGGAAAATAAATTTAATAATATAACATCTAGATACCAATTTATATCGGTTATTTATTCAGAAACTCTTTTTATTATTGTTGTGAAAGGGAATCAATTAACAGTGCACAATTTTTTATGACTACTGTTAGCCGCAGCTGGTCTTTACAGCTTTAACGGACGATAGGGGGCGAGGGCAGATGGCACTCCATTCCCGCGGAATGACTTATAAAGCGGATGAAGGCCAACTCCTGCCTGACGCATACGACTTTAGTCTGAGGGCACCGCTAAGATTAGGACACCTCGGCTCAGGCCAGGGATCGATCTGAATGGTCCTAGTGAATATGCATATAAAAATTCATAAAAATTGATCAAGCTGTTTCTGGGGAGTATCGTAATTAACATTGTGACACGAGAATTTTATATATAAGATAGTATAACTATATAGAACTGTCTGTCTTTGCAGTGATGGTGTGAGTTCGCATGGGTCTGGCCGCAGCGCTGCTGGACGCGGCGGCGTGCGGAGACGCGGCCCGGCTTGCCAGCTTGCTGCTCGCGGACGCGCGACAACTCAACGTCGCTGACGAGGTACCTACCCATTGTTGGAAACACCAGCAAACAACAAACTGAAATTTAACGACCTCATTGGTTTTACTTACGATAGTCGCGAGTTCGATTCCCCCGACAGTAAAAATATTTGTATTCATGAGTATGATTGTTTGTATTGGTCTGCATGTTTTCTATGTATACTATATTTTTTATGACCTCGGTGGTCTAGCGGTCTAGCACACCGCTTTACGTCCGATGATCGCGGGTTCGATTCCTCTCACGGCACAAACATTTGTATTCATGAGTATGATTATTTGTATCGGTTTGGCCGTTTTCTATGTATAATATGTACGTATTTACGAAAAAAAAATTATCTATGTACTTGTATCAGTTATCTAGTACCGAAATACAAGCTTTAGATAGCTTCACTTGGGACTAGATGGCGCTGTGTGAATTGTTCTGAGATTATTATTATTATTATATATGTATTTACATAAAAAATGTAACTAAGTACATATCAGTTGTCAAGTACTCATAACACTCTAATTAGTTTGGTGTTAGTTGTCGTTGTGTGAACTGATCAGGGATATGGTTATTATAAAAGGTATTTGTGGCGGCGTGGTGGGCCGGGTCATTGGGCTCCCTAAAATATGGTCGAGCGCAGTGATGGCTGGCTCATCCGTCATACTCGTGAAACGAGTGCTGCTTGTAGGGACTGGTCTGCTCTTATCACTACGACTGATTTAATCTTATTGCATATTTATATTTGACCCAAAAATTAGTGCTTGCTGGTAGTTTGTATTCACACGTTTCGACTTGTAAATGTAAACTTACAAGGATTATTTAAAAGAGCAACACACAAGTTTCTTGCTCGTTCTTCTTGTGATGAGACAGCTTTCCTAACGAGTGGTAGATAAAAAACAAATTGTTATGACTATTCAAAAGTGCTTTAATTAAGTTTATTTGAATAAATGATTTTCTGTTCTATTCTATTCTATTCTTAAGCAATTTGTAGTTTATAATACGGCAACACTGCCGCTCCGTATTGTATAGTAACTTCAATGGGAATACACCGCTTTACTTTCAATGGTCATGGTAGAAATTGTGTACCCGCCTGCGCTAACGGTCTACGCTGGCGGGGCACCAGTGGAGGATGATAGGATGAGCATGGTGTCAGGTCAGTTAGTCCATCATGATTAAATCGACTTGGTTCCAGGGGGAATTGCGTGAGAGAATGAGGTCAGTTTATTATGATGAAATCACTTGGTCTCCAGGGGGAACCGCGTGAAGTCGATCTAACTGTGCTAGCAATGGGATCCTAGTCCTCATTATTAACAATCTCATACAAACAGTCTCATACACAAAACACACAATGATTGTACCAATCGGAGGAGTCGAACCCGTGACCATAGGAAGTAAAGCAGCGCGTCAAACCGCTAGACAATCGAGGCAGTCAAGTAAAAATATACTCTGATAGGCTCTGGTAGGTAGTGGAACATTTTATTATCTCTCATGTCATACTGTCATGCCTGAAAACTGGTGAATATCATTAGGAAATAACACTACTGGACGAAGTTTTGTCAAAGAAGGATACCTATGTTAAGATTTCTTAAAAGTCGGTAACGTGCATGTGACTCCCTGGTGTTTCAGGCGTCAATAGGCTACGATAACCGTTTACCATTAGTTGGGCCGTATGCTTGCCACGATTGTAATTTGAAAAAAAATCATAACTACGATATTTTGAATGCAGATCGCGTACAATTTGACCTTATATAACATACTGATAGCAAAATATGATCTGGTATAGTAATAATTCTATCACTTATAATTCAACCCCCTATTGATTACGTTTCATTGATTGATCAGTCAATCAATTATATGTCTAAAGGTATAGAGATAAATATCATTATAAATTCTTAATCTGTATCTGAGTTAAATCATGAACATTGGCTGCAAGAAATTGCACAAGAAATATTCAATATTGTCAATTGTACCATTTATAGCGGCCGCTTAACTTAATTTATTGTATAAATTAATGTTAATCGATTTTAAGTACTTATATTTAATTTGTTAATACATCATGTTCCATTTATTTATTTTATCTTTGCATTAAATTCAAATTCAAAAACCAATTATTCATGTACGACATTTTAGCAGCTTATGAACGTATTTTTTTTTATATTTTTTTCCCTACCATACAGTTCAGCATATAGATCCAAGTGAAAAGAACTGGCAAGAAACTCAATTATATTACTTTATTTTTAAATCCAGCCAGTGTATTTATATATAGGTGTCTATGTCTAACATGAAATGAAAATCCCGTACATGAACAACTATTGCCATGGACGCTCGACATTCAAGTAATCGTTTAGTGAGTAATAGCACAGATAACATAATTGGTAATAGGCTCTTGATTTAACAGATGTTTTTAATTTATCTTTTTTAATTTATATTAAATAAGTTATGGTAAACAGTTGGTAGGTTTTCATCATTTAACTCAAAATAATCGAATTAATGCCAAATGTAATGGCATTAAGATTTTACTTATTTTTAAATCTTCACGTTTAGTTTACACATTATTGAGTAGTACAACTACTGTGTGTATTGTATGTCGTGATTTTTCATTAGACAATCTAATGACGGTAGGAAAACAAACAGCCGGCACCTATCAATATTGAATTTTGCTGTTACTCCAGTCAGCTCGTGACCACGGCTAGTGCAACCTAGTCAGAATGTCGAGGTAGGTAAATACCTATATTTACAAAAAAATTAACGTTTTAAAAAAATAAAATCCAGTGAGAAATAGAATAATAATGAAATATATTCTTATAAATAAAACTATATATTTATATTGATAAGTGAATTGCTTAATGATAAATATAATAATTATAATAAAACAGATTCTTATATATTTAAATTGATAATTTTATTTATTTATTCATCAAACTCGTGATTTTACAAAGTGAAAAACCAAATGTAGCGTTACCTTGACTCTTTTAGCATAAAATTAGATTTTATTTTTTTTATACTATATACTTATACTTAAAGATATTGTTGTATAAAGTTTTAAGATTATTTATAGGTACTGAAAAATACACGTAATTTTTCGTAGTTTTAGACCACACTGAGGGGAAGGGAAGAACCCATCCCGGGTTTAAAAAATATTACAAAAAGATCACGTGATTACTGTACAGTCCATTATAGGACTTGAAATGATAATTTCATAACGGGAACATATAAATGACGACCTCGGTGGTCTAGCGGTCTAGCACACCGCTTTACGACCCTTGGTCGCGGGTTCGATTCCTCGCACGGCACAAACATTTGTATATTTATTTATTTATACATCAAGAATAATAATATATTATAGATTTACATTCACATGTTTACAATATAATACAATTTTTTATATATTTCTATTATCTGTAGTCCCCAAACTAGGTCAGGCCTGTATCTTGTATATATGAGTATGATTGTTTGTATCGGTCTGGGTATTTTCTATGTATAATATGTATGTATTTACAAAAAAAAATATCTATGTACATGTATCAGTTATCTAGTACCCATAACACAAGCTTTAGCTAGCTTAACTTGGGCCTAGATGGCGCTGTGTGAATTGTCCTGAGATTATTATTATTATTATTATAAGAAACCTTCAGAAGAAACACATGCAGGAACCATAGAATTGCCAGTAGTGGCACCCTATTGCGCACAAATAAATGTGTTTGGAAATTAATATCATCAATTCACAATGCAATATGACCTTTATTGCATTGATTTAAAGGTAGATTAGCCATCTTGTTATCTGCTATGCTAGGACCGTTGTCGCTCTGATATATCGATCTATAAATAATGAATAATTAAATCTATACACTATACATATCAATAAAATTGAAGTGTCTGTTTGTAATATTGAAATAACTATTTTTTAATACATGCATTTGAATACAAATACGGTACAGACACCAAAATAACATTTTTTTACAATTTTGTCTGTATGTCTGTTCCGGCTAATCTCTGAAATGGCTGGGCCGATTTTGACGGGACTTTTATTGGCAGGTAGCTGGTGTAATAAGGAGTAATTTAGGCTACTTTTATTTTAAAGAAAAATTCTTAATTTTGGAAAAGTAAAATTCCACGCGAACAAAGTCGCGAGTACAGCTAGTTAGTCGATAAATCTTCGCAGCTTACCAATGTATCTCAGGCTGGATGGACTGGAATTAATTGTTATTGCCTACAGTGCGGTTGTAGCCTGTTGAAATACAGGCTATGAATACCATGGGTTGTATGCAATATGTATGCCGATAAATAGTGACAAACCAACACAAATGATATTCTGTGTAATTTATATAATGAAATGAAATGAAATGAAATGAAAAACACTTTATTGTTCCTCTCACAGAAAGAGTAATTACATAAATTAATATGTACATTAAATATGAAAATAATAACAAAATAATTATAATATAGAGGTAACAATGGGCGGCCTTATCGCTAAATAGCGATTTCTTCCAGGCAACCTTAGGATGGAGAGGAGTGATTAGACTGTGTCTGGTCGAGGTATAACAATTCGTTGTTGGATGTACAATTTACATATTATATACACATACATATAACTACATAATAATCATTATATATAAAATATACATACACACACATATATACATACATATATACATATAAATAAATTAAATAATATCTATACAATAGCGACGTTACTATGCAGATAAGTTTCGTGAATAATATTTTTTAACGCTCGATTTAAAAGCAGGCAGTGATGTCAATTTACGTATGGGAAGTGGCAGATCGTTCCATAGTCGGACAGCAAGTACCGTGAAGGACATGTCGTAAAAAGCAGTATGATGTACTGGTGTCTTTAACTGGAGATTCTCCGATGACCTAAGATTGGCGTTATTAGAGCTATGAAGGAAAACAAACCGCTCCTTCAGATAGTTAGGAGTTGAAGGGTTATAAAGGATATTATGGAGAAGGGAAAGAATGTGAGTATTCCGGCGAAAGCGAATAGGAAGCCACTTGAGTTTAGTGCGAAACTCGGAAACATGATCAAATTTTCGAAGACCGAAAATAAATCTTATAAGAGTATTTTGAAGTCGCTCAAGCTTATTAAGTTGGTCTTCTGTAAGATTAGAGTAACATGTATCGGCGTAATCAAGTATGGGATGAAGAAGAGATTGAGATAGCGTAATTTTGGTAGCAATGGGCAGGAAATTGCGCAACCTCCGTAATGACCCCAACGCTGCAAATATTTTCCTGCTAACTGCTTGAATTTGCGGTCTCCAATTAAAAAAGCTGTCAATATGAATGCCCAGGTTTTTGACAGAAGTACTAAAGGGAATTACTTCGTCATTCACTTTAATTTCAGCGATAGTCGACCAGTCGATCCTGTTAATTAGCCTGGAGCTGCCTACTATAATGACTTGAGTTTTTGTAGCATTAATTGTTAATCCAAAAGCTTTACTCCAGTTTGTAATATATGTCAAATCACTATTAACTACGGAAATAGCGTCATTGAAGTTTTCTAGTGGAGCCTGATAATAAATTTGTAAGTCGTCTGCATATAGATGGTAGGAAGAAGTTAGTAAGTTAGAAATTGAGTTTATAAAAACTGTGAAAAGTAAGGGAGATAAAACGCCACCTTGTGGAACACCGGCAAACGTATCACACCATGATGAAAATGTATCATCAATGCGGATTTGCTGCCGACGTCCAGACAAATAATTGTGAAACCATTCAACTACAGGTGGAGATATGTTAAGAGAGCGTAGCAATTCCTCGAGGATATCAAAATCTACGGTATTAAAGGCGTTACTAAAGTCAAGGAGTGTAAGGATAGTTAACTGACTTTTTTCCATACCTAGTCTGATATCGTCAGTGATTTTAACGAGAGCAGTTGTTGTACTGTGACCAGGTCGGAAACCAGACTGAAGAGGATTTATTAGGTTGTTTTTGTTAAGGAACGAGGTGAATTGGTTGTGAATCAAACGTTCAAGGACTTTGGAAAGGAAAGGTAGAATACAGATGGGACGGAAATCAGAATGAGATGCGGGATTGGCCTTTTTTGGAAGAGGGATTATTTGCGCTTCTTTCCAGATTTTAGGATAAACACTAGTTATTACGGAGTGATTAAGGATATGGCAAATAATTGATAGGATCTGATCGAGGATAGGAAGAATCATATTGCGACTGATACAGTCAACACCAACAGCGCTAGAGGAAATTGCTATAATGCTTTTCTTAACATCACACTCTGTGAATTGATTAAAAACGAAAGGAGAATAGTTTGGAGTCGGAAGTGATGAAAGATAAGAAATTGTACTAGTTTTGTCATCTATATCCATAATAATGGACGACGAGGAAAAATGCTGATTGAGAGAATTTATGTCTAAGTTTCGATGCAAATTTTTGTGACGGATCTTGCCGACTCCAAGTGATCTAAGGAATTTCCAAGCTTTAGCAGGTTCCTGATCAGAAATTGAGTTATGAATATAGCGACGTTGTGCATCCCTACACATTCTATTGCAGCGATTTCTGGCTTCATAGTACTTCATTTTGTTATCGTTAGTTGGACGACGTTTAAATTTGGCCTTGGTTGTAACTTTTTTGTGCATAAGTGCCCTAATTTCATCTGTGAGCCATGGAGCAGGAGTATGCTTTATTTTAATGGCTCTTAAAGGTGCATGTACATCATACAACTTAGTCACTATAATGTTGAATTGCATTACTTTGTCGTCAATAGAATCAGCTGCCATAACAGGTGACCAGTCCGTCTCCACGGCGTCACTACGCAATCCCTCAATGTCCATACCACCAAAATTACGCTGAAAAATAATTTTGGGTTTATCTTTAGGAGGTCGGATTTTGTAAGACAAATAAATAAGATCATGGTAAGAGAAAGCATCAGCATCACATTGACCATGTTTTTCCACATGTTCCAAGGAGGAGACTATATTTTTTATGAATATTAAATCAAGAAGAGATGGAGCGGAGTTGGGGAAATGGTGAGTAGCTGTAAGAGGTAGAATATACATGTTACAAGCTTGCACTGTAGATTGTAATGTAGTAGACCGATTATCTCTTTTAAGCAGACATGTATTAAAATCGCCCATTATAATTGTATGACGGAAATTTAGTGTGAAGTCTTCAAGCAACTTTTCCAAGGAGGAAAAATAGTTGATGTGCATGGAAGGGCAATAGTAGACTCCAAGAAGTATTTTTGAATGGGATAGCAGGACTTCAACAAACAAGTGTTCACCAGCATCTGGTGGCGGTGGCTGTGCAGACATGCTAATTATAGAAAATGGAAGGTGAGAACGTAAATATATGGCAACACCACCACCACCGCCGCTGGTTCTATCATTGCGAATAAGTTGAAATCCTGGAAGACAATAAGATGAGGAGAGGAGACAAGGTTTCAGCCAAGATTCGGAAACTAGTATAGCATGTACATTATGCTGGTCGAGGGACGCCAATAAATCTGAATAATGTGCCGGAATACTTTGGGCGTTAATGTGAATAACGTTAAAATTCTTAGGAACATCTGAAAAACAACCAGTCAAGACATCAGACAAACAAGGAAAACTAAACATGCTACTGTTACTGCTTAAATTATGCGATGATATGGAGAAAAAATCGTCTTCATCACCGTCACTATCAATATTATTTAGCATTGTATATGTATAAATTAATGTTTAAATATATAATAAAAATATATATATATATATATATCACACCTAAATATATATATATATATATAAATATACTTTAAAAAATAATAAAAAAAAATATAAATAAATATGTATTCTAGAAAGTACTATCATTACATGGGCACTCCACCCGCCAGTTGTAAGAACAAAACGCTAAATTAATATGACAATATATCACATATAATTGAATATAACCATAATTTACTATAACATAAGTGCAAAGAGCTGGTATCCAAAAACAGAATAAATAAAAACTTCACCTACACTTGCAAGATTGACTTATTACACTGTGGTTAAAATTGACATTTAACAATGACAATCGGTTTAAAAATTTACAACTACACTATGCTGTGAGCTGCCATCAGGGTGAATTGACAATATTAAATCTGAGACCAAAGATAATGTATAAAAAAAAAAAGTGATACAAAAGTGGGTAGAACAAGTGAGTTATGTTGGCAATAGATTAGAGAGAAATATATACAATATAGTTGTTGGATCTAAGATTGTTGAATGAAATTGAAGTGTAGGGAACTAAAATTTAGACAAAGCGAAAATAGTAAACAAGATACATCATTAGACCTATTTTTTAACATTGGCGCGCCTCGTTTTGGATGCAGCAACGTTATCTTTCACCTGTGGGGCTATCTTTTGCTGTTCTGGGACCGGCCGCGGCGGCGCGACCTTTTCTAACTCGGCCAAGCTGCTAACGCGATGTTTAGATCCATCAGGGCACAAAATGTGGATGAAGCCATAGAGATAAATATCTCGTGACCAGCACTTCTTGACTCCAAATCGTTGCCTGGCCATCATGAAGGTGTCATGACGAAGTTTCGTTAAAAACTCCGACACAGTAATGCTTGATCCCTTCAAGTTCGTTTTGGCAAACCATATTTTATCACGAATGCCAGTATCACACATCTTAACCAAAATAGGGCGAGATTTCGCTGAATTTAGTCGTCCCATCCTGTGGCATCGGCTAATGTTGGCAGCTGTGAAATCAATCACTTTCAGCTGGTCGACAACTACACCTTCAACGACTGAGGCTGTGTCTTCTTGCCTGGCCTCTGGAACTCCATGTATGAGCAAAATCCTCTTGCGGCTGCGCATTTCCTGTCGGTCTACCTCGAGCACAAGCAAGTCCACCTGGTGTTGTAGTGCAGCAAGACTCTTAAGGGTGAATTCCTTGAAAGTCGCAAAATCCTCGGCTATAGCAGTCGTGTCGGAATTTGAGGATGAAGCCTTTTGGAGACGTTTTTCAAATTCTTCCATCCTCTGTGCAAACTCTGCTCTGGTGTCTTGTAAGCTCAGTTTTTGATTATACATCGTGGATTTACGTGAACCAGTGAGAAATATGTGATAGTGAAAGTTGGCAGGTGAAGTGTACTCTTACTAGATTATTTTGCACATAAAATTAAAAGTTTTAAAATAGTACTACTATTTTTAATTATAATTTTAAGTTGGAGCACTTTTGAATGTATGTCACCGTTACAACCTCACCAGAAAAAAAAAAAAAAAAAAAAAAAAAAAAAAAAAAAAAATATATATAATTATTTTATATTAGGAAAATATTATACTGCCGTATGTTTAGTTTATTATGTACCTACTATAAATATTATACTGCCGTATGTTTAGTTTATTATGTACCTACTATAAATATTATACTGCCGTATGTTTAGTTTATTATGTACGTACTATAAATATTATACTGCCGAATGTTTAGTTTATTATATACCTACTATAAATATTATACTGCCGTATGTTTAGTTTATTATGTACCTTCTATAATTCTTCAAAATAAGGGTAGGTAGGGTTGTCTGTGTTTTTTAATGTCGAATCTTAAGAAAATTAAAATATATTTTTTTATCCCTACCCGTAAACTGATCTTCAAAATCGAACAGCTACAACAATTGATTGATAAATTATATATTACAACAGGCAAGACCGCGTGTAAAAGCTAGTTTTTATATACGAATACTTCTATTGTAGAGGAGATTTGCAACATGTCTAGGTGTTTCCTAATGTACAGCAGAGAATTTACAACATATCGAGGTGGTTCCTAATTATTATTATTATTATTATCTTATATATAAAATTCTCGTATCACAGTTTTAGTTCCCATACTCCTCCGAAACGGCTTGACCGATTCTCATGAAATTTTGTGAGCGTATTGAGTAGGTCTAAGAATCGGCCAACATCTATTTTTCATCCCCCTAAATGTTAGGGGTAGTCCACATTTTTATTTTTTATTTTGAGGCAAAACAACGTTTGCCGGGACAGCTAGTTATATATATCTCCCTTTGATGGGGTGATAGACTTGTTATTGCGGATGAAAATTACCAAACAAAGACAACTATAAAAGAAATGATGATAATGAAGGTTTTTAAATGGAAGACAAAAATTTTCGGACAATTCTACATATGTTATTATTATAGCATTACTAGCTGTCCAGGCAAACGTTGTTTTGCCTTAAAATAAAAAAAAATTGAGAGTGGACTACCCTTAACATTTAGGGGGATGAAAAATAGATGTTAGCCGATTCTCAGACAAACTCAATACGCTCACAAAATTTCATGAGAATCGGTCAAGCCGTTTCGGAGGAGTATGGGAACTAAAACTGTGGCACGAGAATTTTATATATAAGATTTAATTTCTCATTTTTTTTACTAAGTATAAACCTAGTACCTGTCAATTATAAAGGCCTTCTCCAATTTCTCCAACAGTTCCTGTAATTTTTTTTGGCTGTCCAGCCCTCGCCAGCTATTTTACGAATTTCTTCTAACCTTTGGTCTACCTCTATTTCTTTTATGAATCGCTCCTGACCAAGTAGTAACTGTCTTTAAGCTTTTCAGTAAAGTATTTTGCTATTCTATTCTATACTCATACAAAATATCATACTCAAGAATAGCAATGATTGTACTATACCAGGAATCGAACCCACGAAGCGGTGTACAATACTGTTAGATCACCGAGGCCGTCAAATAAAAATATACTCTGCCAGAATCGAAGCCTTTGATGATCAATTTATTGTAAAAATACTATAACCTATAATTATATAAAATATAATACATATATGAGTATATGAACAAGTTCTTTTTTAATTAAATAATTTTTGTAACCGTTTAATATTTAAAATAATGTATATAAATACATTAAATACCATTTAAAATTAATTGAAAGTACACGCAAATTGCGAGCCACTCACCGCCGAGATAAATTGGAATATCTTGTTGAAGTTAATAGCTTTTTAGGGTTCCCCATCAAAATTGTGAAACGGTATACATATAGAACTACTTTTCTATCTGTCCATATAACTTTTTCTATATGTCACAGTTAGAGCTATTCAGGGTTACCAACCGAAATTGTAAAATGGACTCCATAAAGAGCAACATATTCTGTCAGTCTACTTTTCTGTCTAGTGTACTTTTCTATCTGTCCATATAACTTTTTCTATATGTCACAGTTAGAGCTATTCAGGGTTACCAACCGAAATTGTAAAATGGACTCCATAAAGAGCAACATATTCTGTCAGTCTACTTTTCTGTCTAGTGTACTTTTCTATCTGTCCATATAACTTTTTCTATATGTCACAGTTAGAGCTATTCAGGGTTACCAACCGAAATTGTAAAATGGACTCCATAAAGAGCAATATATTCTGTCAGTCCATTTGTCACAATTATAAATTTGAGATACTAATTATATGTAACTTAGATAATGCTATCGTATGATGTTTGAAATAGTTTCAGATAATTTCAACAAAAATGCAATCGTAATGTATGTAATGTATGTATTTAAAAAAAAATGTATGTGTTATGGGTACTAGATAGTAGTGTATTTATATCAGTTGTCTAGTAACTATAACACAAGCACTGCTTAGTTTAGGACTAAATAGCGCTAAGCGCTATGAGAATCTTATAAAGGATGTGCTTTTTTTATAATTTCTATTATTTATGCTGAGCATCCAAAGTTTAAGATAAAAATTTTAATTATTATTATTATATTATTACAAGTATTATTCTTTTATATATGTTTTATATATTTCTCTTTCAGTATTATTATTATTATATTTATTATGTAATTATTATTACCTCTCCCATTTGGTCTCTTCTCATTTGTTTTTGATTGTTGATCCGATTTGGATCCTGTTGTCCTATACTTACTTGAAATCTTTTTGATGTAAAACGATGTCGCTGGTTTACATTTTGGCACAACTTCAAAACTAGTTCACCGTTTTATTCGGAACCCACTGTTAAGAGACCGGCTCACACTTTACCGGTTTTATTTAATAAAATGTAAACAAATAAGTCTATACATGTAATACGGTTTAGTTTGTGAATTGTGTAATTGTATCCCACGCTTCAACACCATCAATCAATGTGAAGTTACGGCTACGGTGTACGGCTGCGGTTTTGTTGGTCGCGGGTTCATTATTTTAGTTTTTTGAATTAGGAATTATATTTGAAAGCATTAGAATTCATCAGGTAATAATATGAAGGGGAAGATATTTTTATTTATTATAACCTCAAAAATATATCTTATAATTTCTTATCACTAAGAAATCACTTCCAGATTGTCTTTGGATAGAGAAAAAATTATTATTATTATATATTATTATTATTATAATACCTCAGATTTTTTAATATAAAAATGTTAATAAAAGTAATATTTCCTCTTTACATATTTTTCATTACTAGCTATTACAGGCGACTTCGTCTGCATGAAACTCTTTTTATTATTAAATTAAATTATGTTTCTGAAATCAAAGTTCCTATGTGTTTATTTGCGAGTGAAAGTCTCGTCAGAATCCGGTGCAAATAGAAATAGAAATAGAAATATGTAGGTCTATTACAAACTCTTATGATATGTCAAATCTACCGTCAGTTTGAAATGATTTTCGAGATGAGAAGAACTGACAAGAAACTCAGCTCGTATTCTTTTCAAATAAATGTTGTAAATTTTTACAATTTAGCTACAATTAACTATAAAATATAAATAATATTTATTTTAATAAAAACCTTATGGAACTAATTAATAAAATACAGTTATTTATCTATATCTATATCTAAACAAAGACAACTATAAAAGAAATGATGATAATGAAAGTTTTTAAACGGAAGACAAAAATTTTCGGACAATTCTACATATGTTATTATTATAGCATTACTAGCTGTCCAGGCAAACGTTGTTTTGCCTTAAAATAAAAAAAAAAAATTGAGAGTGGACTACCCTTAACATTTAGGGGGATGAAAAATAGATGTTAGCCGATTCTCAGACATACTCAATACGCTCACAAAATTTCGGTCAAGCCGTTTCGGAGGAGTATGGAAACGAAAACTGTGACACGAGAATTTTATATATAAGATTTAATTTCTCATTTTTTTTTTACTAAGTATAAACCTAGTACCTCTCAATTATAAAGGCCTTCTCCAATTTCTCCAACAGTTCCTGTAATTTTCTTTGGCTGTTCAGTCCTCGCCAGCTATTTTACGAATTTCTTTTAACTTTTGGTCTTCCTCTATTTCTTTTATGAATCGCTCCTGACCAAGTAGTAACTGTCTTTAAGCTTTTCAGTAAAGTATTTTGCTATTCTATTCTATACTCATACAAAATATCATACTCAAGAATAGCAATGATTGTACTATACCAGGAATCGAACCCACGAAGCGGTGTACAATACTGTTAGATCACCGAGGCCGTCAAATAAAAATATACTCTGCCAGAATCGAAGCCTTTGATGATCAATTTATTGTAAAAATACTATAACCTATAATTATATAAAATATAATACATATATGAGTATATGAACAAGTTCTTTTTTAATTAAATAATTTTTGTAACCGTTTAATATTTAAAATAATGTATATAAATACATTAAATACCATTTAAAATTAATTGAAAGTACACGCAAATTGCGAGCCACTCACCGCCGAGATAAATTGGAATATCTTGTTGAAGTTAATAGCTTTTTAGGGTTCCCCATCAAAATTGTGAAACGGTATACATATAGAACTACTTTTCTATCTGTCCATATAACTTTTTCTATATGTCACAGTTAGAGCTATTCAGGGTTACCAACCGAAATTGTAAAATGGACTCCATAAAGAGCAACATATTCTGTCAGTCTACTTTTCTGTCTAGTGTACTTTTCTATCTGTCCATATAACTTTTTCTATATGTCACAGTTAGAGCTATTCAGGGTTACCAACCGAAATTGTAAAATGGACTCCATAAAGAGCAACATATTCTGTCAGTCTACTTTTCTGTCTAGTGTACTTTTCTATCTGTCCATATAACTTTTTCTATATGTCACAGTTAGAGCTATTCAGGGTTACCAACCGAAATTGTAAAATGGACTCCATAAAGAGCAACATATTCTGTCAGTCCATTTGTCACAATTATAAATTTGAGATACTAATTATATGTAACTTAGATAATGCTATCGTATGATGTTTGAAATAG